CAAATAATCTCCATAATTGATCTTTCCGCTTTAATTCTTTACTCAGAATAAAAAACCTTAATCGAGGCAGTTTTTCATACTAGGCTCTATTTTTTCACTCCTTTATTCTTGATTTTCATTACTATTTCGTTAACGAGTAGTTAAAACATACGTATTTAAGTTGAGTACGAGACCGTATTTAACTTTAAGCGTAAAATCTTTTTTGTGTTGATATTATCAGGAGAAATCAATTACTTACTCCAAAAAATTAACAACTTTGTTTCACGCTTTACGATCATTCAATCCTAATTGCAATGTCATGAAATCGAAATACATAAAATTAATAATTAACTCTACCAAACCCTTTTAAAATAGCAACACTATTATTTTTGGGACTCAATAAAAAGGTATATTCAGAGGTTTCGATGAACTGTGTATGAATTAGCACAGTACACCGTTAACTAATAATTTACGCGCATATGAACTGTTCCATCAGCGTAGCTAACATTTTTTCCCTACGAACTACATATCTTCCCACATTCTACTTGAAAGACGAGCTTAATTTAAAAAAACTGAAGTTTCTGCAGAAGTGTTAAAATTCACAATGAATTTTCCTGTCAATATTTTAAATTGGAATGGTTTTAGTAAAAAACGTTTCGTCGGGAAAATTAACAGTAGCTTTTAAGACTGGCTTTATTAAGTTTACAATTTATTATAAATTTATACCAATTATCAGTCACCTTTCTTTTTAGTATTTAAAGTTAAGCTCTTAAAAAGCTCAGAATAAATTTCCACGTTTTTAAACAGTTTTGTGTATCTTATTCTATAACTTTCATAAAATCCTACCATTCGAAGTTAACTTCCTTATTTTTTAAATATCAGTGCGTAAGAAATATTCCATTCTGAAAAATTGACTTAATTATTAACTAATTGTTTACTAATTTTTAGTATTTGTTACACACACACACACACACACACACACACACAAAATAAGAACAAAAAGTTACAAAGAATAGAGGAGAAACTACCCACAGCGTGGTGCATAAATAGACAGGCACTAATGATTTTATTCATAAGAATTTTTTTTTCATCTTTTCACTTACTCTCACAATCATTGTCACTGTTTAGGGGATACGAGAATGGGAAGATCATGCCTACTGCGTCCTAAATGGTGCACATTGATCTGGATGAGGTGAAGTGACATGGACCAATTACATAACCACTCCCGTTCTTATGCGACCTCCTGCTCTTCTGTGGCAGCCACTGCTAAGGTTTCCTTTGGAGGACCGAACTAAAGGAGGCGATGCAGCTTTTTATCCCATGAGCACCACTTCGGTTGGGGAGTGGGCGCAACACGAAAGGGTGAGCCTACTAACCGCGAGAACCATCCGTCTCTAAGAAAGGGGGAGGCTTGAAATCGGCACACTCTTCCCTGAATGGATGATGTAGAATACCACGACATAAATAGGAATAACCGTGGAAGGGTGCAACCTGAAAACGTGAGCTTCATATTCACGGGCAAGCCTTTTTCAATCTTTTGTGTCCTATGAATTACCGCTGACTACCCTGTCCCTACACTTAGGCCCGGTTCATACGGAGGTAATCATATGAGAGACGCGTATGCGATAACGTTATAAGATAAAAAAAATATTCAGGCGACTCTCCTGGCGACTAGATTCAATCGCCTCTCCTCCATCGATCCTCTTCCAAGCAATTTAAAGACCTAGATGTTTGATTCTGTCTCATTTTGTAATGGACAAGTTACAAGCTCTTTGGCATTTAATTAGACGAAAAACAAGTAAAAGTAATGTGGGTTTGCCGAATTAATAAGGAACCTGACATAAGAGGCAGCTACACCCTTCTTTATAAAGAACTTCGGCACTAATGAAATTAGTTTGTTATCAAAAATGTCACTTCCATCCATTTTTAAATACAAACGTAAAAGTAAAACAAGAGACAGAGCGACCTGCTCGATACAGAATGAACTGTGAGAATGACATCATACTGCGCAATGACCCGTCAGTCGCCTTCATACAGAAAAAGTATCAAGCGACGGAACATCCCAAGCGACTAAAAATCGGTATCGCCTGCCAGTTTCCCCGTTTGAATGTATCTGGCCTTACAGAACATCCGTTTCCTCGATACCGATCGCCTCCGTATGAGCCTGGCCTAAGTCACAAGGGAGTTTCCAGGCGCAAAATAATGGTGCAGCCCAGAGAGCGTGACATACCCTCTAAAGTACAATCTAAGGGTATTCCCGATGTTTGTAAGATGTAATTCCTGTTAACTCAAATAGAGAAATGTCCAGTAAGATCGTGAACGCCCCCTTGTTTTCTAGCATGTTAAACGTTAATTTTTCAGCAATGCTGAGCGTGGCGATTGGTAGAGCCAAAAATACAGCTATACCAGACCTTGAAGGCTTGTTGATGTTTGTTTTGATTTTCTTTGTGTTAAATTGTAAGTTGCCCGAAGTTAATAAAAAAGGAAAATTAATCAACTCTTTCATTCAAAATGCTATCTATGCAGTGGAAAAGTACTAACAAATGACACGCTTCAATTCGTGCCGACATACCTAACTTGTATCCTAAGGTCTAACAACCTACAACTTTATAAGATAGGGGTGTATCTATTATGAATGAGAGTATAAGGACAGGACAAAAATTAACAAAAGAAATATATTGGTCTGATTTAATTAATACGTATTTAAGAATAAAAATACGTGTAAACAAAAACAGCTGTTAAATTCATGGCTGCCATGTCGGTTACCTACGCCCTAACGGATAGCAATGAGACTACATATTCGACGTAACATCTGACCCGTTATATTGAGCAATGTTAATTAGCCGATTCTTACAAGTCTACGTCATCATTTTTTTCTATAACAGACCTTACAGTTAATACAAAGATCGTGAATACCCCTGCTGTCTTCGTAAACTGGAGAAAGAAATGGTGAACGCAATCGGTTTCATAGGTGGGCCAGTGAACTAGAACCTGTCTGAAAAGACGGTGGACAGAACATGACCGCCAAGCAATTTCCCAGCACATAGCTTGGGTTTGGATTCGTAGTGGTACAAGAAGAGTACCATTCTTCCGTCAGAACACTAATCAGCTGCTTCAGATTAATTAGCGAAGGCAGCTGGAATCAGAAGTGCAACAACATAGGTCACTCGAAAATCTCACAACTATTGAGTAAGGTTAACGGTCAATTATTAAGCGTTAGTGATAAAAAGATTAAAACCCCTTCAGGGAAAAAGCACTTTCAGGTAGTCACCCCTTGTGATTATAATTATAGTTTGAATGATGACCATCGTAACATAGACTGCTACAAGATGGATCACTTATCAAAGGTAGAGAGAGTGGAGCAGGAATCTACATACCAAAATTAGGAATCAGCATCTCGTCCCCTCTTGGTAATAACATCTCCGTTTTTCAGGCGGAAAACTGGGCCATTAATGTTTGCTGTAGAACACTTGTGGATAATAAAATCAAGGGAAAAGTTATTAGAATATTTTCCGACAGACAGGCCAGTCTTAAGTCATTACAAAAAGAGCTATCAACATCTAGGCTGGTGGAGGAACTGTTGAACTTATTAATAGGATTACTACTTGGTACGAGAATAGGGTAACCCTTATTTGGATACCAGCACATAAAGGACACTATGGCAATGAAAAGACGGATAGCCTGGCCAAAGAGCACAGCGAAAAAGAGTATCAATAGCTGGGGCAAGAAACAATTACTTAAGGAATGGCATCTGTCCCCCGGACACAGGCAATCGAAGGAGTTTGTGAAGGAGATCAAACCAACAGAATCGAAATGGCTATTCTCTAACTCAAGGAAGGGAATTAGGAGGCTGATAGGTATCCTGACGGGCCACTGCCCAGTAATGGGTATTCTACCAGATCCCTTTTGCCGTTTTTCCGAAATAGTATAGAAACGGCACGGCATTACCTCGCAGAGTGTGATAGGTACGCTAGATATAGATTCGAAACTTTTGAAGGAGAGGACATCACCAAATCACTCCCCGAGATTAAATGGTCCAAAATCTTGGGGTTTGTGAACAGGTCCAAGAGATTTATGCAGGACACGTGAGCCTACCAAGTCCCGGACCTTTTAGGGATGGGGTACGAGTATACCCAGGCATTGAACCCCTCGGGTCTTGGTCGCCCACCCTGCATAATATATACTTATATATATATTNTATATATATCATTCTCCCGTAAGCAGAATTGCGTCACATCCTACCTTGTTATACGCCTGATAAGGACACGCACCAAAACACTGTACACAATGAAGGAGATTGAAGAATTGGCCAATATAGGTCCAGTGCGCAAAGTCGTACAGAGTCTAACTTCCTCAGATAAAATTACAATTAAAAATAATAATATATAATTAAAATTTAATATCGAATAGAGCAGTTGATATTTGTCTTTCGTCCTAAATAAAAGCTGAAGCTAAATAGAACGAAGAGATTTTATGTCTGAAAATAATTTGTTTAGATCGTTTGAACTTGAATTTTTTCATTGTAAGGTCTTATGCGTCGAAAACGATCTACTTCAACAAATCATCAAATAATATCGACAATACCCATAAGAGAACGAAAAACTAACCACAACCAGACTAATTTTCCGCCATGATTGCAGTATTTATTTTTGGAGAATTATTCAAGGCGGTCAGACTATGTTTTATGGCTTCAAACACCAGGCAAAACTGAAAAAACAGGGTTCTGTACTAGGTCCCATTGTTATTATTAATATTGGGTTGTCCGGAAAATAATGCAGGATTTTAAGTTTTCATTAAAAAAAATCTATATAAAATATTCTGTTTACGTTTACAGGATTACTCATNTATTTTGATTAAAGAACATTGCTTTAAAGTAACTAGTTTCTTTTTTTTTGTTTAATACCAAAATCCTGCATTATTTTCCGGACAACCCAATATTATAGAAAGTTGTATTATCCTCGGTTTCCTTTTTCAACAAGTGATTTTTTTTACTTAAGTTTAATGGCGAAGGAAATTCTTACAAGATTTCTTCTTACTTCTCCCATTGTTACACATCTCATGGCTGTCATGAATTAAAGTAAGCTATTTAAAAAGGTTTACAATATATAGAAGGTTTTATCCAGACGTACCAGAATTATGCGCGAACTTCTGAACGATTTAACATGTGATTTTAAAACAGTACCGGCATTTATGTTGTTCATCGCGTGTTCACTGCTCATATGGCTCTTGGTATAGTCGGACAACTAAAACAGGCTTCGAATCAGCACTGGCCGCATTTTTTCAGCCCGTTGAGTACGAATGTTAAGATGAGGGCGAGTACGAAGGTCAAAAGGAACACGCATTCGATCGAGGCAGGCGTGTCGTCTTCAGTGAGCAAGTAGACCAAATTGACCAGGTCCGAACATCCAGAGCTGAATGGTGACAAATCGCTTGTTATCGCCGACCTATCGCTCATTTCAGGACACTTGTATTATGTCACGAACTGAATTTTGAAAGAAGGGAAGACCAAAATATTAGTGAACGGAGTGTAAAACATTTGTTTATTGACCGACACATGGCGTCGGTTTACCCTAAGCTCGTGCACAAATTAAAGGGCGATTTGGCATAGTTTCTTTATAATAAAGTCTGTGAAGTTTAGTTTGGATAAAATGGTAAAAAATTCCCATTAGCTACTAATTTTTATATACCTTTTTTTCTCCATTCGGCTTCACGCTATACAGCGATAATGACGTAACGACTTAGAAATGATCTGTAACGAGCAAGCCATCCGCAATGACGGCATGTTTGGATAAGGCAGATAAAATAATAGTTAAAATTCGACTACCCTAAGCTTGTGAGATTTAAATTTGAACAATATGCCCGACTATTAATTAGTACTGGGCATATTATATATAATAAAACATCAGACAAACTGGCCAAAGGAGGATCTATCTATACGTAAAAACCTATGGGATAGCAACATTAATCATAAACTTATTATCTCAGAACATAAAACAAAATGATAAGTTGACGAACTCCATAAGTGTCAGAAAAAGTGAAACAAGGTTTAAAGAACCCTCACCAAAACCTGCCAACACATTGCTACAGTTTGACAGGGTAAAACTGAGGGGAGTGATAGGACTATGTACAAGTTCTGGCAGCTGAGAAAACACCTAAAAACATGGATAATTCAATGATGAACCCATTTGTTGGTTATGCATTGAGGAGGAACAAACGCTACCTATATTATTTTTGAGTATGAAGCAATCGCTCAAATGCACCATAACCGAGCGTACCAAGAGGACGCGGGAAATAACAGTCAATGACCTTCTACTTTCGAGTCAATTGTCCTGATTTAAGGAACTAGGAAATGGAAGCTCATCTACGGTGTCCAAATCTCAGCACCACCGCAATTATATTTTACTTTCTTCTTTCATTTATATGTGAATTGAGGGTCCTAAACTTCAGTCATTTATCCAATTTAGTGGCTTCTGAAGTAATTAAGAGGAAAATTCTTTGGTTCCAGGAATGGAATGGATGAGGTAGGTAGGCGATCGCAAAGAGTTCGAGTCTTAAGGACAAAATGATACATTTTGATTAAAAGGAACGTAGAAGAAAGGCGCTAGAAGGGCAGAATAACTATAGACAACTAAGACTGGATGTGGAATACATGAATTTAGGTGAAAATACTTGGGTGTAATAATAACACTAGAAGGGAATTATTTATTAAATCTTAATCATAAACCTTACATCTCGGGAAGATTACCTCTACTCCTTATGTAATACGAAAGAAAATGACGATATATTCCATTTTTCGGATCGTTCCAATATTGAAGAGCACCAGGAAAAAAATTTCTAGTTCAGAACACCTGTCGGATGTAGCCGTAGTTAATCTTTTAAACGGAATCCATTGGCTAAATTTAATAAATGATGTAAAGGAAGATTCACTTCACAGGAACTTTTTAGTTGACAATTTTAATTACTAATCAAGTAATGTATTTACTTTTCTTTGGTTCTTTTGTAACAGTTTGTATTTTTTAGCAGAAGATACTAAATTTTATTTTCTGTTTTGTTATTAGTTAATGTTAAAGCTAAATGTTTGGTCATTATAATTATTTTTGTGTCTTATTCAATTTCTTTTCTCAAATGGATGTGAACTCCTGATAGGCGGCATCGGCTATTGCCATTTTTTTTTCTTTTTTATACTTTTTTATTGTTACTTTTGTATTTGTTCATAATATTGTAAATAAAAGTATCTATCTATGGTATAATACCTGTAAAAACAGTCCAATTATACTGACAGTATACAGGCCTTGAAACCTTGAGAAGAATTCTTTACTTTATAAAAGAAACGAAAATTTTCCAGTAAATCCATTTAGCACAGATGGGCACAATAGACGAAAGTTTAAGTGCTTAAGGGAGAAATCTCTTCGAGTCCATATGGGGGGGGGGGAAGGGAACAACTAAAAGAAAAAAAACGGTAGATTGCAGTGCTTGGGGAATACCAATTCCCTGCCTTCTACTATCCTCCTCATCATCATCATCACGTCGTCGTCGTTGCAAAACAATAAATGGTAAAATGTCAAAAAATATATATTAGATAGCGCAAGATCAGGGTTTTTAAGCAAGATTAGCAGTTTGCTTTTATCTGTGCCCTTATTTACTCTATCAAACGCGAACATTACAGGAGCGTTGTCTTGTTTTGCTTGGTGTCAAGAGATAAAAATTCGCTTTTAAAGCCTACTACGCCCTACTTTTCAGAATCATCCATACAAGAAATTATGAATGATGGAGTGGGTGTGGAGTTCAATCCTTTTTAAAAAGATGGTTCCTACTCACAGTAAGTTGTTTCGAGAAAAAACTTACTGTGAGTAGGAACCATCTTTTTAAAAAGGATCATCCATACAAGTGATCCAGGTGTATCGAAAAATCCATTTGTAATTCAGTCGCTAAATTTAAGAAGATGAGGAACAAATGAGCCACAGTTCTGGCCTACACACGTGTAGTTCAGCTTCATCGATCAATGAAAATTGATCAAGGGTGATAAAAGTAGCAAGTTCTTCAACTGCCAAGACCTTTTTTTTTCAAACTTTTATTTATGACAAAACGAAATACTGTTACATAGTTAGAAGAAGATAACGAGATTAACCCATTGTAAACAGTGTTATAAATTACATAAACGAAAGAGGGATTTTTATATTTAGTAAAGGATTTAATGTTTTTTATTCAAAAGGGCTTTAGGAACAACCAATTTTCTTACACAAAATCAGAAAACAATCACAACCGCTGAAAGACTCATTTGCCCCCATTGTCTTTCCAGCGAATTAATTCTGTAACCGATCTCAAACCGATATCGTGGGTCCGCCGGTCAACCCGATCAACCGCAGAAATGTCGACGTTTGCGCAATGTTCGGAATCGTAAACAAACCCGTTGTCGGGTCATGCCGTTTCACCAATATCGACTAGTTAACAGTTAACTGAAGGGGTTAGCTATTGTCAAAGGAGCCGAAAGCGGTTAGTATCGATTTGCAGCGAGTGGTGAGGGAGAGAGAGAGAGAACTGGGCGATGGGGAGCTCGTACGTCGACGGCTCTTTCTCTCCCATTGTAAGCGATCCTCGCCATCAAGCCCTCGGGGGCACTGAATCAACTTCAGTTTTGACGTTATAAACCTATTTCCTCGCAGATTCTTAAGAGTTGGCCCTCAGTGATTCCATTTTGTAAAATAATAATGCAAATGAGATGGAAATAAGGCAAGAAGAAAATTGATATAAATCACGTTCCTCGGATCCTCAAGGATTTTACGGAAAAGATGAGAGCTTTAAAGCTTAAGTAAACTTTAAAGTGTAAAGTACGTAATTTACTATGGCGAAATGTTTTGTCTTTATTGATAGCCATGCTGATCTGACAGTTGATTAATTTTCGCTGAAAGTTGGTTTAGAATGTGCCTGACAGACCAAACCAGCTAGCATTATTTAACGACGGTGCCTTACCCTTGCTAAGACCCCTGACAGATTGACAGTCCAAAATAATATTGCTAAGTTTATAAGTCTGTTCTATGGATATTGTAACTCTACTTAGCCAGGTACTAACCAAAATGGTCGGAAAGGGCCAGACTGTAGGCTCAATATCTCGCAGACTTCAATATGAATTATCACAAAAAAAGTCCGGTTGTTTGTAATCGAGTGCATTAATCAATGTACGATTTTAATGGTAATAAACCATAGTTTAGTCATTTCCGATCTTCTTGGTTTTGTCAGTCAAACGCTTTTCGCCATCATCAATGTTGGGTCAGGAATGTAACCACAAACTGTGGTGCTAGCAGAAAGTGCTTTGGGACGTACAATGTGACCGTAGAAGAAATTCAACCACTGAAACCGGGCCTACTAATCAAGTTCCTCGATGAAATAGGACTGCTATAGGCACAGAATGGGGGATACAATAGCTCTTAAAGGGCGCATGATATTACACTATATCTACAGGGATATAAGCAGAGCGAGGCGCTGACACGATCTCACCACCGACGATGGCGATGGCAAAATGCTGAAATGCACCTGACATACCAAACCAGAGAGAATGGTTTATCAGTTTTGTTTGAAACCAAAATATAAGCTAAAATGCCTCACCCTGCTTATACATATTGGCAAACCAACTGATCGTTTACAATCCTGTTCCTCGAATGTTTTAACATAAAAGAATGGACAGGAGTCTAAAAATAGGATATAAAAGCCAAAATTTTCGGAAATGACCAAATTACAGGTTCAACACCTAATAGACAATATAAATAACCATAAAAACGTTTGTTTGTTTGTAATCGCGTGGATTAATCGGTGTACGTCTTTAATGGAAAAAGCGCCACTATACCATCTGTGTATTGATGATAACGTAATGCATTAGCCGTACTTTTATCAACAGAAACCTGACGCAGAAGCAGATAACACCGGTTAGCAGGTTAATAATGCCGATAGGACAATTTTGTATTATCTGCATGATGTAAAATGTTCGATTATCGATGCCAAATTACTTTTTCGATCTAGTGGAACAGCAACCAACGAACCAGTAAAGGAATGGGCTAAGCAGGAAGTATTTTAGCACAAGGGGGAAGAAAAGGCCCGATATTAAGATTGGGCGTATCCTTTTTATAGACAAAAGGTAATTTGGTACCAGGATTGGCCAGGTTTCGGTTCAATTCATACGGAAATCTTCATTGGAAACCTTATTTCCTGGAAGTAAGTTTTAAGATCGTTGGGCAACTAGGAACATTTTAGATAAAGCTAGCTAAGATGTTTTAACCAAATCATTTCTTTTCTTCAGCAAACCTTGTAGATGAAATCAGCGTAATATTCTGACTATTTTTAAGATTTTAAGAATTTTTAAATATTTCCTGGATGTTGTGGTCTGTCAGGCGCGATTCGGTTTTTCACCAACAATGGACAGGGTCATAAACCAGGTGAGACGCCGTACACAAACCCACCACTGATGATGGCAAATGCGACTTACCTTCATAATCATTAACATTTTTATTTAAAACAAAAACATGCAATAGAATATCACTGTCGTATGTGGCACAAAGCCGAATCAAACCACCCCTGACAAAATGGCAGCACTGAAGTAAATGAATC